ACGTAGGAAGAGATGCAGCCGTTGTCGCTGTCGAGGGAATCACCGCGGCGATAGAGGGCCCTGCCTGCCTCCTTGCTGTGTAAGGCTTTCGCTTGTTTTTGCCTGCGCTTAGTCATAGGCTTCGTTTCTAAAATGGGTACTCGGGGGGTTCGGCGGTGATGGCAGTGAATATGTTGATTGAAATCGCATGAATGAGAGCTTATATCTTCTTCCTGAAGAAGCTCTTAGGCTTCTTTTAAGTTCAGTGATGTGCTGTTGAAAATACCAATGTCGTGTCGTGACCGTATTTAGTTAGAAGAACACGGTTACGCCAGAACTCAAGAAATGAGTGTTGTAAGCAACAGCATCTTGTGTATTTCACAAATGTAAGGGCACGTTTAGTAATTATAAATTTAACTACATGACTTGTTGTTGTTGTTGCAGCAACTGCCAAGCAAATCATTATACTTGCAATATTGTGCCCCTTCACTTTCTATACCATGTCTCTTGCTTATTCATACGTACCTCGAGAGTGTTACTTCGGCTGAGGAGTTTGAAATGGATTCCATTGATTTTTGTAATACACTTTCGGTGGAGTGTCCTCAACACTCGAAGTACACGCGCAGGCTCGTTGAAAATCTTAGCCTAATTATAGTTCTGCGCTGATCAACCAGATCCTGAACCGAACAGGTTATGAACCTGGAACAATCAATGTTGCCAATGCATAAGCCAAATCTTCTTCTTGGCGATCGGAGCTTAGTATATCTGAGTATAACTAAATCAACTGCGAGTCATTCTCATCATAATTATTAATGGCCCATCTTTCGTCATCGCGTGTTTCACCACCGTACAACATCATCATTGGAACACGGTTCATCGTCTACTTCACCGACCTAGCCTTTGTTGTGAGGATTAATATGCGCATCTTTGCCTCTACGTACATTTCTCGTTCGTGCCTGATTAATTCACTGCTTTGGTTTTAGGTACGCCATCGCGACAAGAAAGCCGTACAGTTACACCCTTCAGCTTGCAATCTCCCTCGGACAACTCTACGGGTGCTTGGTTTACTTCATAACTGCCTTTTTACTGGGTGACAACTTCTCGACCAGCCCGTACTACTACTGGGCATATTACATCGGCGCGAACAGCTCTTGGGTCGTTATACCGTCTCTCATCGCCATGAGGAGCTGGAAGAAGATAAGCGCAGCAGTGAATTCGGAGAGGAAGATGAAAAGCAGCTAGAGCCGGATCTTATGCCTCCGTTGTTTATGCCTCCGTTGATCATGTACTCGTGTAGCGAATTCGGGTTTAATTTTAGCCAGTGATGGATGCTCATCTTTTGGCTGGGTTGCAAATCCTCGGTCACAGTTTCCATTATGGAATGCAGCAGAGTGAAGCCTAGATGAGGTTTGTTTTGTTGGATGAAAATGCATCGTATATTGAATTTTTTTTTTTTTTTCGGATGAGTTCGAAGTCATTTATTTGGTTTACTTGTCATAGCATGCACTGTATCCTACTTCGTTGTGATTAAACTCGAAGTAAATTAAACTCGAAGTTGAGGGGGAAACTAACGAGAAATCCATGTTTATTCGATAGTTGATGCACGAAAGTAAAAAAAAAAAGACTAATTTCACAAAACTGCTATGAACTTTAGAGGCCTGAAATTATTTATTTTGTAACGGTTACAAAATAACCCAATTTTTTTTAAAACTCTAATGACCATGCTGTTCGTATATTCGATATTCATTTGTAGAAGTCGTGAGATATTTACTAGTTTCTTTTACTATGATTATTAGTATCATGAGGCACATAAAAGTAATGTACATATATAGCATTTAAAATGCATGAAAGAAATTGAAATCTTGGGTAAAGAGAAGAAAAAAACTTTTTAATTTATTTTTTATATTATTATTGCGGCTCACATATCTTTCATGCGTGTCAAAAATAAATGAAAGTTGCTCATTTATTTGTGGTGAAGTGGTAGCTATAAGCTACGGAAACTTATCTGTAAAAGATAGAAATATTTCAATAAATAATTTGACGCTACTGAGTTAGATATAACTTTTTTAGCAAAGAACACCATTCAACTTTTTTTGAAATATTGGAGGAAACTAGTTCTTTTCTATTTTTGATCCACAACCTAATTAATTAACATATCAAATGTATGCCAAATTTGTAGAGGATTAGAAAGCTAAAGAGACGAAAAGAGGGTAACGGACCGTAATCAATGTCTTAACAAACACGATGACTTGGGTATATCATTACTCATTAGCCAAGTACTTAGATTACCCTGTGGACTTCATTTTTAGTCCCACAATTTCTTGTGAATATTTATAATAGCGGTAGATATAAAAAGTCAGGCTACGATAGAGGATTTTGTTTCACAACTGATTTAAATAACCCTAATGAAAATCACCAACTTACTATCTTTCAAACTAGGAGGTTTATTCCTAATGTTTATGCACACTTTTGCATATAATTCGAAAATATCCCAAACCACCTTCAAATTCATATATATGTCAGAAGTAGTGAAACATCATCATCTTAATATATTATATTAAATGTTAAAAATATATATAGATGACATATCAAATGAGAAATCGTATAAGAAACCTCAAGCAACAAAATAGATATCGAAAGAACAATCCTTAATACAAAATAATAAAAATATTAAATAAAGATTCTCATCTCTCTTTATATAATACTATATAATATTATAATATAATAATAATAACAATATAATAAATATTGGCAACACTCTACAACTTATCCTAATTGTCATCGTACACTACAGAAAAGTCTCTAATAGTTTTCTCCATTAAAAATTGTTGAAGTTAATTTTCCACAAACCACCTTCAAATTCATTTGTAATTTTGTAAAATTTTCTCAAAAACGTTGGATCTGTGCCTTGACGTCTAAACTCTCATGTTTTGCAATGATTTAACAGTAAATCTGCCATCCAGTGCATGAACAAAACTGAATGACTTCCCTCTTGAGGCATAGTAGGACTGACTCTTTAGGTCTAATTTCAAGTTATGCTCTTTGTATACTCTTATCTAGTGAGTGAATTTGGCAGCCAAAAAACATGCTACTTCAACATTTGCACACATTTGACTTCACTACTTGTTGAATAAAAACCATATTGGAAGCATCTTATTTTTACAGTAAACTTGGCGCCTGTATCGTTTACCGTTTACTTTCCGATACAACTTATTAGCTTTGCCTTCACTTTAAAGAATGCTAGCATGCATATCTGGGAAACTTCACTATTTTTTCTTCCCTGAGCTTTGATGCCTAGCTTTGCCATGGCCGAGCTGCACCGCACTCTTCGCTGCACGGCCAAGCGCATTGGAGAGCCAAAGAGTGCTCGTAGTGAAGTAGCTGCTATTGCTAATAGTAGATCCCACACTGCCAACAGTCTGTTCTGCTGAAAGCATGGCTGTGCTTGCTTGTTTCGCCAATGTTTTACCGATACCAGTCACCTTATCAGTCACTTTATCACTTACCTTGCTCAGAATTTCATGCCCTCGGCGTGTTGCTACTTTTGTTGTTGTTCCCTGCATTATATAAATAGGATTTGAGCATGAATTGTTAATCTAAGTCTCTTACAACAGTAGCAATAAGTATGACAAGCAAGTCTTTTTTTCCAATTTTTGCATGTGCTTGTTGTTAAAGTATTTACCTCCTCCATTAAGTATTTACCTACAATTTTTTACCACTAACACATCCTTCTTACCAAGGCCTACAATGTAGCTGCGAATTAATACTCTTTATTCATGTTTTCTTGGTGAATTTTAATTCTAAATGATATAATAAAGTACGACCTAGGTTTTGTATGCGAGAGGGCCTTTCAGTTATGTTTTTTTGGTAAAAATAAACCAGATATACTGGATACTAAAAACAATTTTTTAAAGCTGCGAATACTAGCACCAACAGTAGGAAATGTTCATAATGGAAGGCCTACTACATATAAGATACAACTAGAGAATGATAACAAAATTGTATTTCACACAAGCGCCAAAGCTATTTGGTATAACGACATAAGTAAACAGATTGCGTAACTGGCACAATGATTGGAACTTTAACAGAAAGATGAGAAGAAATTGATATATTGATGTTTGCTCTTTTTCATTTTTCAATTATGTTAAACAAAGTGAAAGGGGAAAACCTTGCCTGGGTCTGCTCTCTCTCCGAAAAGCAAAAAATAATTGGGACAATATCCTTCTCCAAGGGCGATATGCAAACTCGTCGATCTATTAGTATAGCATCCTGCAAATAAAGCAAGTAAAAGAACTTGGTTTAATGTTCAACCAAGTGAAAAATAGTCTTACGACTGTTTGGTGATGTGCAGTAACCCCTGAAAAAACATCATGGAGATGGGGGGAAATCAGGGATCTAGATAGAAGTATATCAAACTAGAAAAGGTTTACTGCCGAACATTTTACTGTGCCATTTTCTTTAGCAAAAGGACAAATTTTCGTTTTAGACCCTTTTAGGAATTTATTTCCAAAAATCGACTACTTTCGGATTTATTTGCAAATTTCGACCCAGTTTCAGCCAGGTGGCTGAAACTGGGTCTAAATTTACGACTAAAGTTGAAAAACTTCACAGGATTTAAAATCCCGTGAAGTTATGTCCTTAATTAATTAGCGCTAACCAAAAAGCTTGGCTCAGGCGATAAACTGCTACTAAACTTCACGGGATTTTAAACCCCGTAAAGTTTATATTAAACAAATTACATAAAGTAGTTATGTGCAATGGGTTTAGTGGTTATAGCATTAGCTTATAAGACTTGGATGGGAAGCACATGGTTCGAATCCTAGCCTTGTAAATTTTTTTAAATGTTCAAGGAAAAAAATATGTTGGGATAAGATTCGAACTCAAGACCAATTGAATGATTGAAGTTTAGCTTTCTTTGAGCTAACCACTTGCCCAACTATGGCGACCATGTTATATTGAACTCCTCGGGATTTAAAATCCCGTAGAGTTAGGCTAATCTAAACTTCACGGGATTTAGAATCACATGAAGTTTAATTAAGGACTAAACTTCATGGGATTCTAAATCCCGTGAAGTTTATCAACTTTATACGCAAATTTCGACCCAGTTTCAGCCAAGTGGCTGGAACTGGATCGAAATTTGCAAATAAATCTAAAAGGGGTCGATTTTTGGAAATAAATTCCTAAAAGGGTCTAAAATGAAAATTTGTCCTTAGCAAAACTAGCACAAGAATTAAACATCCAGAAAAAGGATCCAAAATATCACAACTAAACAATACCAGTAACTAATTTCCACTTACATTCAATAGAAGAGCTGTCTTAAAGGCATAAGGCTGCTTGAAAGTCACGACCGCCAACTGTGACCCATCTCCATCCCTGCTGAGAACCAAAACAATCAAAACTACATCACCAATAAATACAATTTACATAGCTTGCAAAACTTGAGAGAACATGGAAAAGATATTCATGTTACCCTTGAAGCTGAATCTCATCAATATTACCGCAATATGAGAAGAAGGTTATCAAGTCTTCCTTCGTTGCTCTAGAAGAAATGTTATACACTTGAACGGTCAGATCCAAGGCACCCATGAAATGCAACACTCTTCCACCTTTATTTTTTGCTGAACATAACTTTCTGACAAACAGCATACTTAAAGGAGAAAATGCTGAGAATAAAACAAAGATGAGAGGGAATAAGAGCAGAGAAACAAGTAGAATAAAGAAGAAAGGAAAAAGGACATTCCACGGTTTGATGTGAGCATATTAGCAAGTGCTTTGGAGCTCGTATGTTCATCACCTGACTGCAAGAATATCTATATGAGACTTTCCAGGGTAAACATAAGGCAGCATAACTTATCAAATTAACAGCCAGGCTTTAGGACTGCAAAGTAAACAAGTGTAAGCATTCCAGTGTTAATTGTATAACATCAGGAAAGGATATATTCTTGGAAAACAACTAACAACAATCTTTAGACAATCAGATATCCAGAGATAACGACTGGATGCTTCCACTAACAAAACTCGATCTTGCTGCTTTTTTTTTGAAAGGATATGATATGTCAATGAACATTAATTTTAATACACAGATGGCAATTTCTGCAGTAAAGGATAACAATCAAGTCTAGATCAGTGTCACGAAAAAATCCCAAGAGAATGTTATCAAGAGAATAATAATTTACAACAACATTATAATTATATAAGAAAAAAAATTAGTCCTATACAATACATAAGGAGAGATGGTAATAATGAAAGAAAAGAGACCCATATCGTGAACAACTAATGAAATTTACTGTCCACAATACCCAATTGTTATGAAAGCAAAGATCTTGTTTCCCTTGAATCCATATCATCGTCATCTCCATCAACTGAAAGATTGCTCCAACTAGAATTCCTTAGAGAACTGAACTTTGCACGATCAAAAATATTCTCTCTAAATCCTGTTGTCCTTGAAGATACCATAGGCATTACAAGTACTGCAGATGCACCGAGAACTGAAGATGCACCAAGTGCCTCCTCTCCTAGTCCTACAGAAAGAGAGCAAGCAGCCTGCAAGAAGACCATTTTATGCATTATTAAAACCTCTCTGTTACAGCAATCAAAGTAAATTTTCCTTGTCAATGCACCTTCGCCTTTAGTATCATAGATTTAGCCCTTGATAGAATTGTCTGTATGAATGATTTCACATCATCCATTCCACTTTCTTCTGTCACAGGAACAGCAAGCCTGAAATTTATTTAAAATCACAGAATTCATCAAGAAATGCACCAAATGTGAAAGATAGTCTCATGAATCAGAGACGCAATGGTGGTGAAGCTTATGAGCAAACCTGTTTTTATCAGTGGGAAGGCCTTGAGTTGTAGAAGGCAAAGCAGAACCTTTTGTTTCAACCCCTGATATTTTCACAATATTAGCTGTGTTTTATTCAACAAGACATTATCTATAAAGATCAAAAGTCTCATCAAATACCTTCAGAATCATTAGGTGCTAACAAGGAAATGCCTACAAAGACAAATGCCATTCCAAATATAAACATTGTTGTTCTCAATGCATCAAGAACCTGCCAAAGGGGGTCATGATCATCATTAATTGTTTGTACATGGATTATGTAAGAATGCCAGAAAGCTTGTGTTTAAGGGTGTAAACTGTGTTAGTGAGACAGGGCATGAATATTGGCTTACTTGATATTCCTGGAAATAAACAAATCCTGTACATATAGAGAAGAAAGTCCATGCAATCTGAAACATGGGCACTATAAGGATTGCATCAAAGAGAGAAAGTCCCTCATTCAATCTGGCCATCTGAGAGATAAGAAAGATTAGCTTAGATGCATGGACGGAATAGCTCTCTGACTTTTGCAAAAGTTTTTTTAAAAAATGACCATTCAAATTGAATATTATGTTGCATATATATACCCAAAACCCTGCTGTGCTGAGGAACAGAAGCAACATGGAGTACGTAAACCAGCTGTGAAACTGATAATTGCTGCTCATTGTCAGTCTGAGCATATTAGATCTGGCCAGTAACAAGCAAACAAAGCAGAGGGAGAAGCACATGTTAAGATTCAAATACACCCACATACTATAACAAGGATATCAATGGAATTATATTGTAGTGTGAAGTCTTCTCTTGGCTGATAAACTTACAGTGATTTTGCAAACAACACAGAGCAAGAACCCACAGCACCAGAAACAATGGCATAGGTAAATGGCAGTAACATACGCCAGTAGGGGCTTAAATCATGTCCAGAAACTGATAGGTAATCTTCTCCTTTCCTGTTAGTTTCAATGATGATTGTTACCACAAGCACTGTACAAGTCATCACTAATAAGTAATATTTGAAGAAAGTTACTAATGCAAGAGAATTTGCAACTACTACTCACCTGTAAATGTAGTGATTGGTAACAACAACCATCATCAAAATCAGGCAGTAAACAAGAAATACGAGATTACTAAACTTCTCAGACAACTGGGTCGGCGTATAAACTGATAAGACAATGATTCAACCATAGTTAGATTTTTCTTCAGTATCACTTTTTCTCACAGGTTTAATAACAAACTCATAATTACCAAGTAACATGAAAATACAATAACGAAGAGAAATCATCTGTCCTATATATATAAGTCTGTTAACTGTGGACATTTACCCAATCTTGTATCTTTTAGATTCAAGTCTTTTGTCAATGTTCAAACTTAGAAAGAATCCTACTCTAATCTTATAAAACAAAATGTTTAGCAAACAAATAATACATGGAACCTCATCAATATAATAATATACGGATTCAATGTCAACTTCCGATAAACTGAATAAAACAATTGGTCCACCAATTGTTCTCAACCCTCCAATTGTTCTCACCATAGTAGTAATACTGTCGTACTTCTTTAATCACATCAATCGTATTGCTGTAACTAAATAGACACTTCTTTCTAAACATGCAACACAGTCTCCATTCCAACTGAAGTTTGTTATGAATCAAAAAGAGCAATATGCGGAAGTCACTACTACTTCACACTCTAAATCCTTTTATCAATCTGTATAAAGAATAAATAGCTTCATATTAACACTCTGTGATGTAAAATCAAAGTAACAACAACAATGAAGAATTTATCCCAAAATTTTGGGGTCGGCTACAAGAATCCTATGCTTCCATTCAGTTCTGCTAAGGGCTACCTCCTCCATTAACCATCGTGCATTCTGTTAAAGAGTGTCGCCAAAGAGACTATCTGAACATAAGTAGTAGAATTAAAACATAGCATATGGAATGTATTAAGAAAATTGCAACTGGTACAGAATGTGGTTAAGAAATGCCTCAAAATTATCATTTTGTCAACTTAGGCTCAATATTTCATCAAGATTGCAAGATTGGAGTAGTGCTTCTAGAATTCGGTGTAATCGTAGAATAATAATAAAGTTGAAGGATAAGTCAACACTAGAGTACAAAACAAGCAATACTTGATGACCCAGAACAAACAAACCACAACAACAAAGCCTTCATATCAAATTCTTAGATCAGCGACATGAATCATATTCTTTCAGTTAGTTCTTTAAAGGGTTATCTCCTCCATTAAGTTAACCACTATGATGTCCTTTTTAATTAACTGCTTTCAACCAACTTCTCCTGATCTTACCTCTAGCCAAATGTTGGAATGTTGGACAATTAAAAGGCATCCACAAGTAATAGTTGTAGAATAAATGAGAATGCTCAGTGGATGATTGAAACACAATAGAGAAGAGATAGAAAATTAAATAAGTACATCCATATAAAGTTAGAGGTTGCTTCTGTCAAGTATAAAATGAAGAGAATTGATTGAGATGGTTTGGACAGATGCTACTTAATGCATCGGTTAGTAAGAAGCGATAGGATTACAATAGACAGGCCAAGAATGACTAGACAAAGGCCTAAGAACTTGAATGGAGAAAACTAAGAAGGATATGATCGTGGTTATTAGTTAACATGATAGGACATGCCTTTTAATCACTTAGCTTTCTCATTTGTTCCACAACCATTTATTGGGCACAATTGATATGCAGTAAGAAAATTTATATTGATGTTCTTCTAGTAACTTCTCCACTAAATTCATCCTCTTTCACGTGGTTTCATAACTGTCGTATGTCTGAAGTAGCTAATCTAATTATTCATACTTTCACAAACTATGTTCTTGCTTCATCATCCATATAATGCACAAATCATTGCTTATTCCCAACACAAACCATTGCTTACTACCATCACAGTTGAGATGTGCTGATTGGAGTGGAAGGATACCCTAGACCACTTTCTCATGCCTGTCACTGCACCAGAACAACGTGGATGTAGCTGTT